GCTACACGCGGCACGGAGTAGGTAGTTCGAATTAGGCTTTCTAATTCGAACTACCGGTACACCTCATTCCATGGGATATTTAAATCCCGGGCTTCATTTGCAACTTCGAATGACTAAATTAACCACCCTAGTTCGAACTAGGGTGGTAGTGTAGACATACCCTCAGAGAGTAGTTATTAACAGTTCACAATCCTGCTGGAAAGGCATAACAAGTGGGGTGTCACAGGAGTCTGTTTTTGGGACTGGCACTGTTCAATATCTTCATCAACAATTTAGATATTGGTATAGCAAGTACGCTTATTGTTTGCGGATGATACCAAGCTGAGAGGGGTTGCTACTAATCTGGAAGATACAGTCATAATTCAAAATGACCTGGACAAATTGGAGAAATGATCTGAGGTAAACAGGATGAAGTTTAATAAAGTCAAATGCAAAGTGCTCCACTTAGGAAGGAACAATCAGTTTCACACATGGGCTCTGTCTACAGTGAGTCACTTATTCCGGAAAAGCAGCCGCTTTTCCGGAATAACTTGCCAACTGTCTACACTGGCCGTTGTCTTTTCTGGAAAAGCAATGATGATCTACTTGGGGCTTTTTTCCGGAAAAGCGAATCTACATTGGCCATGGACGCTTTTCCGGAAAAGCATCCTGCCAATGTAGATGCGCTTTTTCCGGAAATACTTATAACGGAAAACTGTTCCGTTTTAAGCATTTCCGGAAAAGGGTGCCAGTGTAGATGTAGCCATACAGAATGGGAAGCGACAGTCTGGGAAGAAGTACGGTAGAAAGGGATCTAGGGGTTATAGTGGACCGCAAGTTAAATATGAGTCAGCAGTGTGATGCTGTTGCAAAGAAAGCAAACATGATTCTGGGATGTATTAACAGGTGTGTTTTGAGCAAGACACGAGAAGTCATTCTTCCGCTCTACTCTGTGCTGGTTAGGCCTCAGTTGGAGTATTGTGTCCAGTTCTGGGCACCGCATTTCAAGAAAGATGTGGAAAAATTGGAGAGGGTCCAGAGAAGAGCAACGAGAATGATTAAAGGTCTAGAGAACATGACCTATGAGGGAAGGCTGAAGGAATTGGGTTTGTGTAGTTTAGAAAAAAGAGAAGATTGAGGGGGGCATGATAGCAGTTTTCAGGTATCTAAAAGAGTGTCATAAGGAGGAGGGAGAAAACTTGTTCATCTCGGCCTCTGAGGATAGAACAGGAAGCAATGGGCTTAAACTGCCACAAGGGAGGTTTAGATTGGACATTAGGAAAAAGTTCCTAACTGCCAGGGTAGTCAAACACTGGAATAAATTGCCCAGGGACATTGTGGAATCCCCATCTCTGGAGATATTCAAGAGTAGGTTAGATGGTCTAGACAGTATTTGGTCCTGTCATGAGGGCAGGAGACTGGACTCCACGACCTCTCGAGGTCCCTTCCAGTCCTAGTATTCTATGATTCTATGGTTTAATTTGCAAATTTACATTCAGAAAAAGCATACTTTGCTTTTATTCATGTTTTTCTTTACATTATCCAACAAATAATTATTTCAACCTACACCACCTCCCCAAAACAAGATGGTCATCTGGTTTAGTTCTTGGCATTTTAAGCATGTCTTCATAATAAAGATGTGCAAATTTAGGGGGGGAAAAAAAACAGAGAGGGGAAAAAAAGAGAGGAGGGCTTTTATCAGCCAATAGTAAACAAAAAAGCCCCTACACCATACCTGGCACGTTTCCTGTTTTTCAAGCCCCTTAGAACAGTTATGTATTTGACGTATAGCAAAACATTAACCGGGGTGGCCAAAACAAATATGTTTATGCAGCCTTTAGCAAAGTATTCTATCTTGCAATGAAGTCTGGCACAGGAATGAGCTAGTCTACATATGGCATACTGATAGTAGCTTTCATCTAATGCTTTTGTCACTGTAAACCACATTTTCACACTACAATTAGATTGTAGGTACATAACTCCATAGTAGGGGGAAGAGAAATTATCACGAAGTGTCTAAAGAGCCAGAGTTCTGGCACAACTGCAAGCTAGAACCTGTGTCAATAGCTTAGCCTCTCTCTGCAGTAGAACTTATACAAATAAGTGACAACGCTAACTACAGTGTCATAGTTGTATCTACTTTGTTACAATTCAAAGCTGAAGCTTTGAGGTTGTTCCCATAATTAATGGATTCACTTCCTAATCTATATCAAACATTCTTAGTTTTTTTTCCCCTTCATATTCTTTGTGTGATGCTGATCCTGTAATACTATTTGGCAATTCTGTAGCAACTTTCAACAATGATCTCAAAACATTTCCTGAACATTAGGTCTCCCAGTATCCATATGATGAGGCGACTTAGGAAACATCAAATCTCACCATCTCTTCTTCCAAAGCCAATACATAGCAAGGCCTGTCAGCTGTTTAGATATAAGGACCCTTTAAAGAGTTAGCACAAGTGTTAATTACAGAAACATACTGTGTGTGTTGTGCACATAACAGGAATGTGCAGAAAACGTCCCCTTAAGGGTTCTTAAGAAGGGAAAAAAAAAAGAGAGAGAGAGAGAGAGAGAGAGAGAAAGGTAGGTGTTGTAGGAGTCTCAGCAGAAAAGTGCATTTGCTAATATTATCAGAAGAGAGATTGTCTGGTGAGAGTTACAGAGAACTGCACTCCCTTCTAACACAAGTCAATAGTGAGAAGAGCAAATGTTTTAGTCCTTCAACTAAAGTGATGCTTGAACTGAATTTTCATTTAATAGCTGAAGAATGTCCTTGTTCCTCCATTAGTGATTCTCCCTTGGATATTCACACTCTGCAGAGCTTCAGTGGGAAATTCTCTGTGATGAGGTGATCATCATGCAGGAGGACAACAACGTTAACTTCAAACTCTAGAGGAAAAGAGAGCTGTGGTATTAACTCAAATTGTACAGTAGAAGCAATCGGTGGCTCCTGCTCTTAGCTGCCACCATCTTAGATACCTCTTTCTAGCTGTTTTTAATTTTCTGGAATTATCTGTTGCTAGATGATTCAGCACTGTAGAAAACAGGGCGTTATGAAATGACCAATGGATTATGAAGATGAGTTTAGCAACAACATTTTGAAAGTCCTTAAGTGGAAATTTGAGGTGGTTGTCAGGAAAGAGGAAGACAAATGTAATATTTAGGAGGGGAGATAAGGACCTAGATAAGAGTTTTTGTGATATTGATGAAGCAACTGCATCTTGGAAACACTACAGAAGAAGCTGACAGATTTGGATATGGCCTGGCTGTGAATCAATAGACTGAAGTCACAGAAAACCCCCAAATTTCAGGCCTGAGTGACTGGGAGAATGGTGGGTTTGTCAGTGATGACAGAAAGGGATAATAGAAGTGTGGATGTTCATGCATATTTAATCCTCACTGCAAACAGACATTTGCTTTTAAACTGCTTCTCCCAGAGAGTTTTCCTGGCCAGAACCAGTTTGTAATTTAGTTCTAAACTAGAAATAATTACAAAACCACTAAGAGTAAAAAGACAGTATACACTGAAGAGAGAACTTAATTCAGCATGGAGACAGTTATAACGGAATGGTATAGAGGTTTTTAATGAATATTTAATATATCAAACAATTTGTCTCACTAAAGTTAGTGGTTTGATGGACCTGGAGCCTGAGTCCTTTTTACCTACAACAGATACTTTTAGAGAATAGTAGCCCTGTTTCCCCACACTGCTCTGCTACTATACTTTAACCCTGGTATGGGATCACCTCTATTGGTAAGAAGGTCTTCTTGGCTTCTCTTGTAAAGCTGCTCTTTAGTGCCAGGGGTTGTAGTTTGTATTATGGACCCTTGCCCACTAGAAACTGAAGTGAAACTAGTGGATTGCTTCACATGGACTCTAAAGGCATCCATATTTCAAAAACAGCTGGGTCCTTACCAACTTTGAAGTTTGTAGTTTCCAACGTAGGGCAGGTGAACAGCCTGGGGAACACCATGTATATTGGAATAGGCAAGTTTCTGCAGACATCCCCATCGGCAATCTGAATATTCTGAATCTCTGTAGCATCTCTAGCATAACCTTCAGCACAACCTGGAGAAAACAAATATTAGGGTAAAGCAGCATTTCTTAAAGTGCAGTGTGCCGCAAGTCATTTGTAAGTGTGCCGTGGAGAACAGAGTTCAGAATGGCTGCCCTTAAAAGGGCAATGCCTGCTCTCCTGATAAAAGGGCAAACTGTTTGGATTATTTTGCTTAACTTCTTTTCCTGGTCCTTTTTTGTTTGCTTGTTTTGCTCAATAACTTTCCCCCCCGTCTTTCTTTCTTTCTTTCTTTCTTTGCTCAACAACTTTTCCTTTGGGAATGGCCTCCCTTACAGGGGCAAGCCTCTTTTTTTTTTTTTTTTTTTTTAAACCTCAACAACAACAACGAATCTCTAGCATTTCCCATTTAAAAAAAACCTGCTTGTTGTTTCTCGGTCTTAAAAAGTTTAAGAAACAGTGGAGTAAAGGAAAACACAGCAGTACCAATTCTACTAGAAACTTACAAACATGCTTCCAGCCTTTGAATTATTATCCAAAAAACATAACACCCCCTCCCTTTTATCCATGAGAGCTTTGACTTTATTAATGTTTTAAAATTTGTGTGACTAATGCTTTTAATAAGGAAAATTAGGGTATCAGTGTATAACTTGCAAATAGTTTCTAACTACTGATTTAGACAAGTGTGCAGTGTCCAGTTTAGAATATAAATATTCAGATAATCAGTGTGGTATATTCAGATTTTAATTTACATAAGACAACTTACCACATGTTTCCACACGTACTAATTGTAGCTCAATACTTTTCACTGCAGCTTCTGCATTCTCCACCACCAACTCCCCAGTTAGTGGTTGTGTAATGATGCAATTAGTTGAGTTGAGATGCCCTTTGATGAGAAATTTTGGGAGTGAGGCTCTCTATATGTAGAGTAGAAAAAAGTCATGTAACCAATCATAACAAGTACAGACAATGCTAAATAGGCAAAACTGCCCTTTGTGAAAGAAGCAGTATTTGAAGTACATAAAAACCATACATTAAAAGAATATTGTGAAGATTGCAAAGTCAGGCCCCTCACAAGTTAGGAAATGCCAGAATCAAGCTTGCTTGTGCAAGTTTAATGGAGATCCACCCTTTGAGTGCATGCAGTGTGATACAATCTTTAATTACATGGTAACATCTCTT